TCTTACCCCAATTCTTACTTACGTTCAGAGATTGATTCGTTTTCAATACAAAAAAAAAAACAAAAAGAATTACAGAAACAGAGGATTTGAAAGGTGGTTGGTAGATAGTAGCCTTACTGGTCTTCTCATGAGATAAAGAAAGACTAAGAAGACTGTTGAAGTATTCGCTAATTCGCGAACGTTATACATGGTAATGCTGAATCAAAAACGTTGCAGTCACTGATACAAAACTCAAAAAAACGACTTACCCTCACTTCTTTTACTAAGAACACACATTTCATAGCCTGGTGGAGCAGGAAGGGTTACGCCTTCAAGACCATGGCCACGAAAAGCTGCCGTCTTCCTCGCATCAGGGCCTTCTTCAGTTATGAAATACCTGCAAGGTTTACGATATAACTTTTTACCACCAGATACATGGATTATCTAAAAAGTAATCGATGTAAACTAGCCCTGAGATCTTGGCTGGTCCATCGTAATGCAACTTGCATGGTACCGAGTGGATTGGTTTGCCTGTAGTTGAACTACCAGTCCCTTTCGATATAGTACACACAGGAGTCGCCATGTCTGTGTGTCGAGCCTAGGTTGATGTTAAAAAAATTTTTTTGTCAGCAATAACTTGCAAGTGTACGTAACGTAACTTTTGAAGTTATCAGCACTAATACATAGCTTGGAACTCAATAATATAGAAAGGTTGCACAGAAATTAACTCAATACAAACACAAACTTGAGAAGCAGAGGTTACAACCGAATGCGTTATCGTAAAAAAGATGGAAAGTGAATAAATTATTTATCTCTGGCAAAAGCGTGCGCAACCATTAGATCAAACAATCAACAAATAAATATCATAATGAAGATAACAATGTAGATAGAAGAAATCCACAATTTTCAACAACAATATCAACAAAATAATAAATTCTAACAATTACTGTATATTGATCACCTTGATTGCTCAAGTTTTCTCCTTTTTACTTTGTTTTACGCCATTCGCTTTCAGCCTCTGTCGTAAATTTTGAATTCCCTTCCGAGATACTTTCTTCTTAATAACTTTGAAGGGAAGATCGGTGAGCGATTCCTGTGAAAGTCCTTCACCTGAATTGCATATATACGACCAATCATTTCAAAAATGAAAAGAGTAAATAATGACTCAGTGGTGAGCAACGTTAATGATTTAATGTGAAATGGCAGACCTTTATTCAGGGCGTCTGCTTTTTGATAAAACTCTGCTCTTGATATCACGACAGTGCCGCTAATGGGATTGCCTATAACAACATTGAAACTATCTAATTCAACGAGCAATGTGACAATCTAGTCGTAATGGAAATAATGACTCCCGCATTTTCTCAGAAATAACTGTTATGAACAACGTACGCAGAATATTGAGACGTAAAAAGGGTTCAGCGTGAAATATAAGAAACTGCAGAAATCAACCCAAGTAAGAAGTTATTTTCCGAACGCATTGCTATTGCTATTGGGGTGACACTTACTCCCATTTAGTTCGATCTCCAGTTGAAGAGTGAAACCGCCAAGAACAGTGTGTGTGACCTTCACATGAATTACTAGCATGGAACAGGTTTCACAAGTGAAGGTTCTGTTATATTTCAGATCATTCATGTGTTTTTATTAGTTTGTGTCAGTAAAGAAACCCATTCCACTACAATAAGAACAATTTCCCAGATGGCTTTCGAATCCAGCATTCTGAAATGATTTTCTTGAAATATCGCATTACTAACCTATGCCTTTAAACCTTGACTTTTCTGAAGAGTGAATAATTTCAGCAGGTATATGGAACATTTGGATTGAAGGACCAGAGGCACGAATCGTAAAAGTCTTATCATCTGAAAACAACAACCGATATAGTCAGCCATAGAAGCCGAAATCATATTTCGGCAAAAATAATGAGAACTTCAATGCAATCTCAGAATAGTCTCACTTATGGCAACTCTTTTTTCCCGAGAAGAACACGAATCGATAGGGATGTGTGCACCACTAAGATCTTCGGGTGAAAGCTGAAAAAAGCCAAGATTGGTAGTAGTTGGTAGTAGTTCGTATAAAACGCTCAACACTTCCCAATGGGACATCATTTCATGCCCTTCTAACACATCATCCCCATCCACATCCGGTAATTTACACTTAAGTTCGTAGAGTCCCATCCGCCAGTAGTCCTCCGTACTCAGCTTTCCACATACAGCTGAACTAAGTCTTTTTTGAAGAAATTAGACATCCTTAGAAAGGAGATCGTGGTACTGCAGCAAAGCACGGACCTCTGCTTTCAGAATTATGAAGGACGAAAAGGAAGGCAGATTCCAGAGTAATCAAAAACCGCTTTTTTAGCGCTATTGTTGCACTGAACCCAAGAGGCCATGAAAATAAGCAACCATGTTAGGGTACAGAATATTTCTACACAACTAACGAACATATGCTTGAGCTCTTTCAAACGGATACCATCACCGAATTTGCAAACAGTCACGTTGTGGCTAGGCTCGCACAGCCAACTCCTACCTACTTGTGTACAACTGCCATTTAGACTTCTGCCCTTACTTTCGGACGCTATCAACTCAAACTCTCGACATCAAGCATAGTTTTCACATCTGTCACAAGAGCACCGTAGATTGGCTGGATGGCGGAACTTCTCCGCGCATTCCCACAGCCAGCGGCGTACTTAAATCAAAAGTAAAACGATAAAGACAGCTGTGCTGAAATAGTGCTCTTCTGGATAGGATTATAACACAGACGGGGATTTGGAAAACTGCAAAATCAATTGGAAACTGAATGAAATGAAAAAACGGAAACTTCCAATGTTTTCGGCCTGGTCTTTGATACTTGCCTTTTTCGGTAGCTAGTGAAATAGGACAGGAAGTCTGCGTACCTCAATAGGTTTTCGAATTAAAAAGACAGCAAATCTTGAATCATCTGTCTTCTTGTCCTTCTTTGTTGGAGTTTCATGATTTTGCTGTTCCATAGGTAACTCTTTTGATGGAGAGCTATATTCGTGAACGTCTGGTGTCCCTGACAACCGTCTTTCCTTCTTTTTCTTCTTGGGGCGACCACCCTTTTCTGAGTAAATAACAGCAGGCAGATGTAGGGACTCATCGCTGTCATATTCCTGGAAGACAAATGTGAGGTATAACAAAAAATGACTTGAAAACAGATGAATGCAGACCTTACTTCCGCCATTCCCATTCAAAAAGGGTTCGACATCATCATTACCATTGTCATGGCTTCGTTTGAGACCCATCCCTCACTTGCACAAACTTCTAAAGAAAAAGTCAAAAATAAATTTCCTGAAACGACCGGCCAGCCAGAACAAGGTACAGTAAAGTGCAACAGAAGTGCGCTGACAGCATTACTCTAGAAATACTACGGTAAAAACGAGAACTTGGACTGAAAGCAATTTTGGATGAAAACTATCAGTCAAAGAATGGCAAACGCAGAAAACTGAGAACTGCCCTCAAGTCTAGTCCCTGAATTTAGCAACTGGAACCCCATGAGCGATTGGTCATCATCCACGAATGTTATGTTCAATCTGGGAGCCTTTCATTGCTAGTTCTTGACCTCACTGAATTGGACAAATGGCGAAATTCGGAGGGAGAGCCGTAAAAAATGTCCCGAAAGAGTCAGAAAATCGTCAAAAATGCGATTTATTTGTAGATTCTACCGACCCCGGCATTCAGATACCGTTACTTGCCGTATCTGTAGTACTTTTAAACCAGCAAAGTCAAGCGAATCGATCGCATCAAATCCGTTCCGTCGGTTCTCCGGTTCTCTGATACTCTGAGCGTAAAGATATTTAATCCTATTTGCCAATTCGTCAGGTCCCCTGGCGCATTCTGTGATTCCTGTCTTTGAGCGTGTTCAACACATTTCTCCATATATTCATGTCTGTACTGTAATCACTTTTGTTAGCTGTTGTTTTCGTAGAAGCCTCAGCAAATTACATTTAACTACCTACTATTTTTTTTGATGTTTTTTCTAAGCGATGCAAATGACGTAGTTACGATCCAAAATGCGTGCAAATTCGTGACTAGTACTCTCGACAACCTACTGAATATAATTTTGAGAAATTTGATAGAAAAATATGGTGGCACTGAAAATGAATTTAGAGATGACCATAACTGCCTATTATCTTCTCGCCATTCCGCCGAAACGTCATCCTAATAAAGCTCATATACAAACCTCGTAAAGAGTTTAAGAGAACAACTCAATAGTACAGTAGTTATGCCGAGGGTCATAAAAAGTGGAAGTTACTGAAGGCTTTTTGCTAGTAGTGATGTAATAGTTATAAGAGTGGAGTGCAGAGGAGATAAGAGTGTAGGGAAATTTGTTCTCCATGACAGAGATATGACAAGACCATACTAAATCCAGGATTACAACCAACTGTTGGAAACCTTATCAGCAAAAGCGGACCACCACAAAAGACGTGTAAGTGGAACAGGAAGAAGGGAAGAAAACGGTTAAACAATCCGAAATTCGAAAGTTTTTTTGCCCTAATCCAATTTTCGCTTGGAGCACCTAAACGCGATTAGAGCGCTCTTTCTTCCCTTATGAGCTCTGCTCTTTTGGATTGCTTACTAATGGAGTAATTTTCCTTCGCTTACAATACATCTTCTACTTAGAAGGTGAGGGGTGCATATTTTCACATTAGTTCAGAACTCCTGTCCAATCTACAAGTGTGTATTGGAAAGAATGATATTTTCTTTGAACAGATATTTAATTCTTATTGCTTCAGTGGTTGGTGCTCATGTACGGCTTCAATAATTTTGATTATTATTCAGCCTTCCTTATAGGATTGTGCAATGGAATGGGTTGTAACCGATCAGGATCGTAAGCGTTTGCAAAATCTAGCGGAATTTGCCAGTGAAGACAACAAAGGCGCTTTAAAGAAGTTTTGTGCTAAAGAGAAATTATCTCTTGAGGATATCACTACGATTAAGGTATTTCTTTGCTATTGGCTCCATCCTTACTTTAGTGCTCTTTTTATTTTGAATGTCTGAGACCGATCAGTTTAATTTTGAGAATTTTCAGGATGTCTTGCCGAAAGATGCACCTCTGTTCCTGTTTCTCAACAACCTTACCATCCATCATGAAAATGTAGTGTACAAAGCTTCGGATGAATTTCGGTCAGTGAGCATCGGGTGTAATTGTGGATAGTAAAGATCATCTGTTTATCCATTTCCATTGCCTGTTTTCATTGTCTCATGAAAACTATCTTTCAAGTGCGAAAACGGAAATGCTTCGTCGGAAACAAGAGAACATGGCTTACAAAAGGATTGTCCAATCCGTTGACGCTAGTCAAAAGTACGGAAAGATCGATCACATGGAAAATTTTGGAGCAGAACTTCGTGTAAGTCAGTTCTTTCGAAATTGTGTAAGGTAACTACCACTGAGCGCCTATTTTTTGCTCCCGCTATTCTTAATAATCTATGTCTCCGAGAACATATCATGAAAAATTCTTTTATCTCCTCATTAATGGCTTCGCATACAATAATTAATAATTTCTTCTCTTCAGGCAGTAAATCGACAATTGATAAACATCATCAACATTGTGATAACGGTTGTCGGCGCTTTCTTTTTTGGATTCTCCGGTGTTCAATTTGCATATCCTCATCTACATCTTGACATTGCTACCCGATTTATTATAGGTCTTATTCCTGCAACAATAGTATTTTTCGCAGACTTATACTTTGTAATAAAAAGTATGGATCAGGACGATACTAAGGATTGTCCACCTGGTGTGTTAAGTTTTAAGGAAATGGCTAAGAAGAACGAGTAGGTCTTTCGATGAAAGTGTTATAATTTTTAAGAGTGTACATATTTTCAATTACTATATCTTTTGTTCCTTCACTAATAAGTTGATATTATGCCCATTCGAAACTGTGATGCGACTGTGTGTTTTAAATAAACTTGTCACGTTGTTTTGCTATGTCATCGATAGGAAAAGGCGGAGCTGATGAGCCGATCAAGATATTTATTGTTTTTCCGTTTCATTGAGTCTGATCTTGTACGAGAATTTCGATTCCTAACCTATCATTTGATAGGCACAGGATGGTCTCAGCTCCAAAGACTTTACGTCCAAGTAACGCTAGGTTACGTCACTACATGAAAATATATCGATTAGCTGCTTCACCTGATGGTAAGTGTGCTACACTTAAGGTTTCAAGATTATTTGTTGCCAGAAACTCAGAATTGTGTTTTTCGAAACACTTTGATTTTTTTCAGAATCTTGGCTTGCCGCTAGTGATAATCTGTGTCGTATCTGTTTGTTCAAACTGGCCGACTGCCTTTCTTCTAATGCCTCTGATGGAAGCCGTTGTCTTTCGCACTTCATACAAGTCAAGGACCCCGTTTTTGCAATGAAAACCGTGGATCAGCTTTTGGTTGGTTTTACTCGGGGTTTTGTTGGAATCGTTCAGTGTTAGCGCATCTTTATATTTAAAATTTGTGTACTGATTGTCATTCCGATGGCGTGACGGAACCAAGAACATCATTCAAAAAGAAGGTTGAAGTTTGATTAGAGTGCTATAACCAGGGTATAGGTTACGAGTGAGTAAATTTCTGTATTTTGTCAATTTTTTTTATATTTTTCCGCTATTTCTGGTTGCGAGTTCTCGAAGCACTGACCAGTCGCGGCTAGGGTGTTTTTAGCGTTGAATTTCCGTCACTGAGTACCTATTATAAATCAACTGAAAACTATTTAGTATTATAAAATGTAAGTAATTAGAACTCAAGGCAAAATTTCCTTTTTCCCAGCAAAAGGTTGCCCAAGCTATCCCTGGTTATTCCTTTGCAGTCAGACAGTGTAAAATGGCATGCAAAGTGTTGAAGCTGGACCTGCGGAATTCGTGTAATATAGTAGCCATTACTAGAAAAAGATGCAACTTAAAACATTCCACAGACTGGAGTGCTCCTCATTTCATATCTCATAGTCAGAAGTGTCATAGAAAATATAGTTCACTACGAAGAGGAAATCGGTTTAGTCGAGGAACCTCTAGTAAAGGATGACTGTAAATAGCTCCTCAACTCTATGTCCTTAGGTCTCCAGCCGAACTTCCATGAGAAAGTTTAAAGCTTCCTCAGGTCGGTCAGTGGTCTTCTTTGTTACCCAACAACGACTTTATGTTGAACCAAACAGAATGAATTTGATTGATATTCACTATGCCAAGTGCTTTTTGCAATAGCTAGGAACTTCTAGGCCCTGCAGTTTTTTAGGGGAGTTCATTAAAGCGTTTCGATTTGATAGCCTTCTGCAGCGTTCCGCAATCGTGTCTGTGTTTGTTTTCTTGCTCTAGCCTTTGGAACTCCTAGAAAAAAACAGGAGCCGGAAAATACCTTACTTTGTGTTTGATAATTAGATGTTATTGTTAAGATTAATCGCTCACCGAGACCATTTAGATGTGTGGTGACTCGAAAGGTCGCATTTTCGCTTACGATTGGAATGAACTAATCAAACGTGCAGATGGTTCGCCAAAAGCCCTGTTCTCATTCGGAGTGTTCGATGGTGAGACATCGTTTTGCTGTGGCTCATCCTCATTTATGTTGATGATTTGGTACTATCAGAATAAGATTTATCAAGCATATCGGGCCGATTTCTTACTTTTTGGTTTTCTAGGTGCCCAATGTTCAGTTCCTGGGCCCCATGAAGTGAATGATCTTTTGTACTGCAATGAAACAGAACGCCTATTTGTCGGTGGGGCAGCAGATAATGCGATCAGAGAATATGACATCAATGTTCCCCACAAGGTAAGGTTGATGTTACTCGGAATATTCCTGGTCTTTTTTTTGTTATCTTTTAGAGTTCAACGTAGTTGTGAGGGTTTCAGCCTTTACGATCGTTTCCTGGTCACTCCTCGACTGTTTGCGAATTGGCGTCTGCTTCAAGTGATCAGCTATTGAGTGCTTCAGCTGACGGAACTGTACGTGTATGGGATGTGAGAAAACGCACTGAAGGTCATGTTATAAAAGTAGCAGATGAGCCTAGGGTGAGTATTTTGCATTTTTTTCCATGTTTCATTCTGGAGGGAATTAGTCTAGTGACGGGAAAATAAAATTTGGTGTCATAGATTTATGCGGCTTTGATTTTTTAAGTTTTCAAGGTGTAGCTTTAGCAGTGGCTCGATCTCTTATCGGACTGTCCTAGTTGCGTCTAGTGACAGTGGCTACAGACCTTTCTTAAAGGAAGTTTTTTTTTTAAAAATTTACGAGCTCGCTATAAGCCCGCTCAAGCGTACTAGTACCACAATATTGGTTTCGTTTTTGTCGGTTTCCTCAGAGCGAAGTGGAAATGGCCATTATCAATCTGGGATTTTCAAACTTCATTCTTTGCTCTCCATATTAATGCAGCTAATTGGCTTGAAATCTCTCATCCAGTTCCTCTCAAAAGTTTTTAATGGGATGCCACACTTAGACACATATTTTTTATATTATCTCGCCCGATTATCTTGTAAGAAGTCGAGATTTTTCTCTCTCTCCTCTGTTTTCTACTCTGCTCCACAAGGTCACACGCTTTGCATCGGCAGCGTGTCCTCAAATTTTTGTGATTCTTTCTTCCCTATTCTACTTACTGTATCAACTTTTTTTTGCGGAACCTTGCTCAGACATTTGTATGAACATTAGTGAAAATCCGGAGTTCAACGTTTTCCAAGTGCCAACGTCTCCGCTAGAAGCGATTGCATCATAAGCCTTTTCCACCACTCCTGATAATATTTAGCAGTAGAGCCAGACCTCCTGTAACGTGTGTCATCCTTTGTCCCAATAAACGAATTGGTTTAATCGAGGACACGGTCCAGCAGACTCGGCTATCTCTCTGAATTTCAGTGCTTGATAGTTTTTGAGTGGTCTTTATGCGCTTGCTAACCGGTTCATGGCATACTGGTGCCTTTTTTGTTTTTTGCTGTTTTTTGTTAGAATAGTGACAGCTTTTATCCTCCCAGTTTATTTTGACGCTCAATTCACTCTTCTAACCTTTTTCATTTGGTAAGAATTCCTTAATAGTGATAAATTGTTCAATGAACTCATAATTTTCGGAAATAGGAGGTATATTTATTCTTTTGAAAGCTAACAATACCACCGTTCCCGAAAAAATTTTGATTTTTGGAAAATCTTCCCGTACAATGAGCTTTTTCGATAAGTTCAACTGTTATTCCGTGTGGCGCAGTGTAGTCTTTGTGACACTGTCAGTGGTTGTTGAACACTGACCTTCTTCCCAATTATCCAGTAGAACGTTCTCACATAAAAACGTCGAACCGATTGACTCAGAAGAGGAAGCGTCCATGCATTAGGTAAAATGAAAATGTCGATTATAAAATCTCTGAAGAACATAACCGAGTTCTGCATAGTCTCGCTTTTGAAGAAATATTTAGAAGAATATAGCAATGCCTGAAATCAAAGATTAGGTGTCTCTATGATTGAAAGGAACAACAAAAGTAGAAATAACTAGAGTGCTTCCATTGTCAACATTCATAACTCTCGGTAAATTCGTTGGTTTCGGTTGTTTATGAGAACATTTCGTAGCGAAACAATATTTGGGGTGGAGCGATCCGATGTTTAGGGTGAATGTTTTCTCAACAGTACCTCGAAATCCCCCTTCAACGCTTTGTCAAGAATTTTTGGTTGGGGGGGGGGGGGGTCAAACGAAAGCATGGGGACTCATGGGAACAAAAACGAAAACTCAATAGGGACTCTACATTTGCCCAGCTAAGAGCCCTGATTAAGGCGTGCTGTCATGATGGATGGCGGTATTTCTCCCCGAAACCAAAAATTTCAAAAATTTTTATCGTGGGAGGGATTATGTTGTCTGTGATGTTCTGCGTCCACTACATCTCATTTTACTGAAAGATCAGTGTGGTAGCTGAGTGAACTTTCGTTCCTGACTCATTGGACCTTTCCATCTTGTGCGATCTTTTGCTTGAGCACGTAAGCGGAAGCGAATATTTCGGCATGGACAATTATGAATTGCAGCACGTGATTCATCAAAAACTGACCATGTTATGATTTCTTCTCATGATTTATAATATGTGGAACGAAATTAATGAGTTGTTTCCGAAGGCCACTTTTCCCGATCTTCAGTCAATGAAAAGTTATAAATAAATCTTATACTGAACATCCCCGATCGTTCAAATATCGTTTAAGATGCTAAACATTTTCGTCCTCTCTTTGTCCATTTCAGCAATCTCTGGGAACTTCATGAATAATCTGAGTAGATTTCAAAAAGAGTTAGGGTTGGAGGTGGTGTAGTGGCATGTGGCGCACACTATCACACTTGCGGTCCGGGGATCGAATCTCTCATGATACCTGCTCTAGCTTCACATCCTCGACACGGGGATGTTTAACGCCAAAGGACTCCAAATGAGAAAGGAAAGTGGAAATGGAAATGAAATATCAACTATTAAGCACCGCCAGGGTGGTACATGGTTGTGGGAGTTCGGGTAGTAATGATCGCTTCAGGTATAGAAATATATATGCAACCGAGTCTTCGACAGCTCTTTTAAGGCTCAAAACCAGAAGAAACTGAACGGGGTGGGGGAATGTCAGGGAGGTCGCTTTGAAGTTGTTCTCGCCGAATCAGTACCAAGGCTGGCCTCTAGTAACAGTGCAGCGAACTTTGGCATCCCATCGCACCCTTTGGCTGCGCTGAGGAAGCTACCGCTAGGAAAAGCGAAAGATGAAGAAACAGAAGTGAATTGTATGAAGAACACAATGACATGTTCGGGGTACATCTCATTTTTACAAAAGTTCAATCTTAAGACTGTATTTGGGACGGAACGGCGGTGAAACATACCTGTGTCGTCGCATACATCAGTGTCGTGAAAGCTAGAAATCCCTCAAAGGCTAGCATCGTTTTTTCCGCTGCTGATATCCGCTTTAAGTTGGTGTTAAGAAGTTTTATGAAGATCACAATAGTGACGAGAAAAGTGAGTAGCCCGAATACGGCAGCCGCTATCGCCGAGTGTAACGAAGCACTCAACTGAATATCACCATTAATTAATTAGTTGGTATTCTGGTTGATTAGAATGCTATCCAGAAACTTACTGCAAAAACCCTCTCATATTCGATCACAAGTCCTCCTTTTTCCTTGTCAACTTGGGCATAACTTCGACAAGGTAATACGAACCATGTGAATATCAACGGTACAAGTAATGACAGTATCAAAATTCTGGTGTAATGGTGTGCCCAGAACTGCAAAAATTGTTTGACTGAAGGTCCTAATTTGTTCACAACCCTAACTTTTTGATTTTTGCTTTTTTCTGTAGTTATAGAACCTCAGCCTTTTACTTTTGTTCCATGAAACCTTTTTAATCAGTCTATGAAAGTTCTAAGAATCTTAAGAGATTAAAGCGTTTCCACATACGGTATTCAGCCCCTCAAGCTTACAGATAAGCTCCCAACGACGTGAAATGCGCGATAAAATGCCTACTCACTTTCTCCCTCAGGTCATGTTTTCTAATTAGTCTCACTTTGCCATCGCCCGTTTATACCTTTCCACTTCAGGTTTGCGTTCGGTCGTTGAACACCCGAATACATTTGGGATAAATAAATGCTTACAAATCAATATCATGAAGTGGCCTCTTTTAGAGCGGTCGGCTCCAAGATAGGGATTAGTGGGGTAAAAATTGTGCATTGAAGTAACCCTTATCTGCCCCCGCTCTAGTCCCACACTTGCCAAACATCTTCATGCTTGGTCCAACCTCCTAGATGCGGTTGTGTTTCTCACCAGTGATGTATGAACCAGATTTTGAAGGCACAGTTCACGATAACAGTGGTTTCTGAGATTTCCCCATGGGATGAATTTGAGGTCTTGTGTACCATATCTGGCACTATTGGGTCGGAAAACGGCCTAGTTAGGCAGTTATAAAGGCTCGACGATTGGCTCGTGTGTATCCTTGGACTAGTTTGGTCGGCATTCTAGAGGCTGCACCGATCACAAGGGAACCCATGTAGGAGGTTTAAACATCTTGTCATGACTCATAGCTACAATGAAAGACCGTTCTGTACAGTTCTAGCTTGATGTAGTCGGCTCTTTGTGCAATTGCAATAACTGAAATCTCGTCCGAATACCCCATGCATGTTATTACCGTCATGATGATCTCGTCCTACCTCTATTTTCCCTTATTTTAGAGGACTATATTTTTCTCGAATTTCTCTATTTAATTTTCTCGATATTTACCAACAACTCACGTCTGCTGCAGTGAACGGTGCGAAGACAGCGGTGAAGCGATTGAAAGAAATCGTAAAATGTAGAACGAGAATAGCCATAGGGCAGTATGTAGCAATAGATTTATAGGGATTCAACACCCAATTGGGTTTTCCAAACGCATACAGTAGTTCATTACACCAGAATCCCAAACCAACAAAACGTTGGATACAATAATGAGCAAGGAAATAAATTATACTCTGAAACATTCTGAATTATAATGCGATTCCGAACCCTCTGCGAAGAGATTTGAGCTTGAAATTAAAATCTTTTTGCAAGTCTCAAAAACTTCGTTACTCATGCTAATGAAAGCTTTCCAATAGAATTTCCTCATTTTCTGTAAAGAAATTCAATTTTGCTGTGGACAGGAATCTGCAATTAGGTCCAACTTTCCTTCCCATTCCCATTTCAAAGCTTTCCGTTTGCGGTAAATAGTTTTAGTAAAAAAAAGGTCCAAGTGTAGATTCAGCGAATACCTACCAGATATAAATAGCTTTTTTTTCCCACAGCCTACTCTAAGCATATCCCGTAGGTGGTGGCTCTGGCACCTGCCATTATTGGAGAATTCCCGGTGCTTCTCATAACTTATTCTGAGACGGTGTGGGACGATTTCTTATTATGAACGTCAGAGCTTTCAATGGGTAGAGAAAAGATATGCTTGCAATTGTTGGTAAGAAACTGGGATTCGGGAATGCTAAGACCTCTTCGCAGCTTTCTTGCTGTCTAGAACTTGAATATCGAAATCATGGCCAGGCGTCCCTTCACAGTACTCACTAATCTCCATGTCTTTCCCAGTTCTTGCTGTCCGTTGTAAAGTCCCTCAATTGCTGATCAATGGGCTTTTAAGGGGCCACCGAGGTAAACGTGTCTTTGTGCAATTCGAAATCTAAAGGTAATCAAATGTAGATGTCATTGCAGCAGGGCGTTTGTAGGTTATGCATGACGCAATGGCTCTCCATTAGTCCATGCTTTTCAAAGCGGGGATAACAAGGAAGTCCAATGTTTATTCTCGGAGAACCTTTCTCCAGCTACAATATCCACATTTGTACCCCTGATGGGTTTCTGGGGAAGTACGAATTGTCACTGATGAAAGGTGAGCAGCAGTCTGGTGATTATGGGTAGTAAGATGTGGTAAAATGATCACATCCTGCAAATTATCAGGCAAACACCAACGTAATGTATGGGTGTTGAGGGAAGTTGAGCACAACATTTTAATTCGGGCAGTAGTTTGGGATATATCAAAATCCGAGTTTGCTCTGACCTTCAGCATGACACAGATCCATGGGGAAGGAAACTCAGACTTTTAGTAACAGGTATCGTACCGCAGCTGTTCATGAATTTGGCCTGGTTCGGCACTTGCAAGTGTGTGGGGCTCGATGGCTGGTGTGAGACCGGCTCATCAAGTGGTCGCCAAAAAAAGTAACCCTTTTGGTGGGTGAAATCTTCCGGTAGCTTAAGGAAAGACAGTGTGGGATGACACTCGCGAAAGGTAGGAAAAACCTTCTAGGGGAATATATTTTCAAAACTTTTTTTAAAATGAATGATAGTAAGGAAAGCCAGAATTGAGGAAAACTCACAAGAATAGCACTTGCTATATACAGTTTACTAAAGACTCGGTCAAGAGGATTACGTTGTTGCAATAGGGCTCTGATATTCAGAATATACAACAATATCGATATACCACCGTAGATCCCTTGTATTGCATGGACAATGACCAAATCGCTTTGATTATTTGGCACACACGATATGGTGGATGCACTCGAATTGTTGGTAGCCATGGCTCATCTATGTAGTTCTCTAGCAAAGCAGTCGCGACAGGCTAAAATCAGCGTTTTCCTGAAAATTCCATTTCAAGAGAAAAACAGTGAAATGACGGCGAAGGCTGTAAACGTTGCTTTCGGTGTTTTACTCGATTTTATGAATTCTATGCTATTACCTTCTAGTATTACTGTAAAAGGGAAAAGACTTCAAAATTTTCAATTTCCGTCCATTACGGTCATTGAAACCGATTTGCGTTGCGTTAAAGAATCAAAGTCGAGTTTCCCCTGCAGACAGTGAAGACGATTGAATTCTGGTTAGGAATAGCCAGATTCATGCATCAGCCTTCTAGTACACTGGCTTGCCAGTACAGTTGTTGGGAGAAAACTCAGTTGTTTTACACAAGACAAGATATGGATACCTTGGATCTGGATAGTGCCTGTGTGAGGTGTATGAGAATGGCAGAAATCATTGAAAGACTGATGAAAGAGAGATGTTCTATGGTGTCAAAAGTTCCCATGTGTCCCTAGGCTACCATCCATTCCTCACATAATGAGAATATGAAAATAATATTTTTGAAATAATGTGCTAGCACGATATTGACCATGAATGGCTATAGAGGGCAGAATGTGGGTATAGGGCTCGTGTGTTGGTTAATTCCTTTATGTGTCACTTTTTCTGGCAATGTACTGATTGACGAGTGCCCTTCATCTCCAATTCTTCAATTCCATTTTTCGAATTGAAGGCGTTTTTCCCAAGGGAGTTAGATGTCTGGAAGGACCTTGTTACAATAAATCCCGATGAGATCGTCTACGCTGAATGCAAAAATTCAATCCTGAATTGGATCCTGAGATGTGTTTATGCACTGAAATACCCTCAGTGAGTCTATTGGAAAATGTCCTGATGTCAATCAACTATGCTCTCTTCCCTCAATTCCCCAATTTTCAAGGCCTCCCCAATTTTCAAGGCGTCCCCTAAAAAACTGTGATGTATGGTTCCTTTCATCAATATCTTATAAGGCCCTGTAACGAAGTGGTTCAGGAGAAAATTCTCTGGCGTACAACATGCTTTTCTGTACCGTACCAGGGACAGATAGAATTGGTTTGGGGTTTTGGTTCGCTCATAAGCAGTCCTCATTTGTCTCCCTATGAAGTCTTCTTGTTTGGTTTTGGGAATGTTTTTTGGAAAAGCAGTTTTTGCTCAACACCACCCAAGTGAGACAAAGTTTTTTCAAGACAGGTGCTCGGACTATGGTTTGGAGTAGTGGTACCAATCAGCTGCCGGAAAGGTGGCAAGATATATGGTTATTAAAAATTTATTGTTTTTAAGCAAAACTATGAGCTATTTTTGATTGAGGCTGTTCTGTTATTTTATTATTTTATTATTTTTGCAAGTTTCAAGGCAAACGAGAAGAAATCCTTATTATCTGGAGAAAAGAGCTTTCCGTAATCTTCCATCGTTTCAAGCGAGTATGGATGGAAGAGTGCAATTTTTTTATAACAAGAATGGTACTTGGGCTAGGCTAGTTCGGGAACCCGGTCTCCAAGACCACCAAATGTCGTATCTCTGAAGAGATTCTCTTTAAGACTCCTTTCCATCTTTAAAGCCCTCATAAATAAAGCTGAGGTATTCTTCTCGCTTTCACAGTCTCAATAGTGCGTCTCCAAATTCCTTCAGATTTTTCCCGGAAACTTCCCACAAAATGAATGAATTGAAATTTGATGTTGGAAGCAGCAAGTTTGAAAACTGCAGAAAGTCTATGCAAAAGTAGTTGCTGCTGCGTGAGGAAGCAGCTGCTTTTTTGTTATTTCACTGTCGTTCAAACAACTGATAACACAATGTGGTACAGTAGATTTTCTAGGATATATTTTATTCACATCTTGATTGCAAAACATTCAAGTTCAGGAAGCAAATTCACAATTAAAGTAAATCATTTCAATATTAAAAAAATGGGAGCATTGATTAACTACTAAATTTAGATAATTAAAAAATAGGTGCAATAGATAAAGTCTTTGGCATTAGTTGATCCCATTTTGGGATGCGCTCCCCCATTCAAAATCGCAGTGACGTTTTGTATGGATTCGTGGCCTACTCAACGACTTGTGGTAACCAACCGATTTACAAGTCAAAACGATAAGGATGGAAGGCTTGGTTGACGTGAAGGACATCGAATTGGGGTTTGATCCCGGACCGTGAGTATACGGTAGTGTGCCACTTGAAAGGAGAAAAGTTAACTTTTGGCGTTAATGAATCCCGTCTGAGGGATGGGCTTCCGCATCGGCCTTTCATTCAGAATCGTAGTAGCGTATTGTATGCGTATGTGGCCTTTACCATGACTTCCGGCGGTCAGCCCATGAGCAAACCAACGCTTTTATCCTCCCACACAAGTCTGGTGCCAACTGACCGGCCCCGGAGGGTTGGAAGGCTTGTTTGGCCTAGGCGGACATCGATTCTGAGTTCAATCCTGTGACCATGAGCGTGAGATAGTGTGCAACTATACCAATTCCAATTAGTAGTAAAACAGAATGAGGAAAACGGTGATTCCCAGGTTGGAGTAGCGAACTGCTATGGCTATCACATCTTCAATCTCTTAGATTTCAAAGTTCCATTCTTTTCCGATTTATCCATCATTCAGGGGTAGTTACAAGGGAAATCATAATGACATCGACATTTGCTGCTTCTTTGAATCCCTGGATTTTCCATATTTGTGATGTCTGTAAATGGACTAAGTAATCTCGCCGCTTCCTACTATTCAGTCGTCCAAATCAAGATTGCTTCCAGGAAAATTAATGCATACGCTTTTGATAAATTGGTTTTCAACGGAATGGTAACGGGTTCTCTCCAGACTGCATAGCCATTTTGAGTAATGGGATTATCGGAGATCATTATTTACTAGAATGCGTTGATAAGGTGGAATTGTCGTGAAATCAACTACACCGTTTTGAACTTCCGATTCTTAGAAAGGAGTAAGATCAAGGAAAGGCTGCACGATTAAAACTTGATGCCGTCCAGCCAGTAATTTCAAACTCAAATTGCTGGTCCAGGTCTTCGTCTTGGCGAGCATTTCAGCCGAATCTGGCTTAGTGGTGATTACACTAGGGATGTGCTTGTTTTTTATATTCCCCAGAGTGAGACCGAGATCAGATTACTCAGCTCATAGAGGAGTGCTTTTTTGGACTAGAAGGGTCATCAGAGCTTAATGGCACACATTAGCCATGTGAAAAGAACAGCAAGAGCGAACGTGTGGAAGCTGAAGCTGTAGCACAGCCTATGCCATCCAATTTCTTCGAAAAAAACATCATTGGTGGTAAATTGTGTTTGCGATCCTCTTCTTTGTCTAGCCAATCCCTATAGCAAAACCGAAAGAACAATGAAAGGGATAGTCCCGAGGTAAACTTCCCCAAGTAGTTTTTCCCAAAACGAGCCAATTCTCCTTCAAAACAAAGCAAATTTTTAGCAAACCTAGCGACCCTTCATAAACCATATAGTGCCCCACCATCCGCGTAGTTGTGCCGCTATCTTGCCTCTTCAGCCTTCAAATTTTTTTTGGAACGGCCGTGTTTTAATCGGTTCCAGTGGAACGAAAGAGTGATGCTGTCGAGATAACTCCTACAATTTGTTAATGACGCCCCAAATTCAGGGAAATAAACGAGTGTGGACTCATATAAGTTTTTATAGGGAAAGCAAGTCTTTCGAATTAGATTTACGAAAAGTTTATTACCTGACTCCTAAGTTTCTCAGTCCCCATTTTGTCATAGAATTACCTTTACATGACGCCCAATGTATGTCGAGGTAATTCTATAACGAAATAGGGACTGAGGAACTTAGAAGTCAGGGCAAAAAAACTTCTCATAAATCTAATCCAAAAGACCTGCTTTCCCTATAAGAACTTATATGAGTCCACATTCATTTATTTCCCTGAATTCGTACTTCCATAAGCAATGTGGGTGGAGTGGGTGGAGTTATGAAGTTTCAGAGACGTCTTCCACGGCTGGATAACTGGGAATCAGAATTATGCTCATGATGTTACTTATTCCTACTGTAGCAAAAAAGAAAGCAGACCGTGCAAAAGCTGTGGGAAAGGCCTTCACTACGTCATTGGATTTCTATCACTTCTCTCATGCTTGGTTTGCCTGATTTAGCTATCTGTGGCTAGCCTCTAAAGGTTCCCCGCACTTTCCATTCTGCTCTTACTCTACCCGTGAAACATTTCCATCATTTAATATGCGTTTCTGACACTAGGTCTGTGGAATGATGAAGGGGAACGGAGGATGACAGAGGCGGTATAGGAGATATACTAACCCCCACCAGATCGTACATAGTGACGTGAATTTTATCTTTTATGATCCTATTGATAGTAACTCTCCAATTGCCTTTTTTATTCGTTTAAACTTTCGGTGGATTAACAGCTTCTTCAGACCGAACATACAAAATAACAAGTACTTTACACACATTTGAGAACAACTCCTGCACAGCTGCTCTTGAAAACGGGATTTCACTCGAACAGAAAAACTTTCTGCGATGTGAGTTGTTCTCAGAGCAGGCCTCATCTTTTCTTTATACTCACCATGATTGTTTCGGATTTTATGGAGTATACACTCTCATTCATGTTTGGCACAACTCTGAGTGTATAAAGTAAGTAAGTAAGTAAACAAATGAAATTTGAATATTGGTGTCTGATAACCCCGATTCTATCAACGGAACGTTCTTTGCGTAAAATAAAAGGATTAGAATAAAGCCTTGGTGCGTTAATCAATCCCGTCGGAGGGATGTGCCCACGCTCGACTTCTACTCAGAATCATAGTGGTCTTTTGTGCGTTTATGGCCTGTGGAATGAGTCGCGGTGGCCAGCCGATGTACAAGTCAGCGTTGCTGTCCTACCATACGATTTTGGTACCAGTACTCCGACCCTGGGGGAGTGGGAGGCTTGGTTGACTTGGCAAGTATCGATCCGAGATTCGAACTCAGGACCATGCGTGTATGATGGGGCACCACTTGTTGCTACACACTTCCGTCCTGA